CCCCTCTTTTCAGCCATTAATGGAAAGGTGTTTGGAAACTTACAGGGCCTGACTATGCACGTTGGAGATCACGTAAGCTGGTATTTGATGGGCATGGGCAATGAAATAGACATTCACACGGCACACTTCCACGGCCACAGCTTTGAGTATAAGGTAACAGGTCCTTTCCATTCCTTTCTTGCTGTGTTAAGAATGAGGCAGCTCAATACCAAGGACTGTAATCTCTGATGAAAAGTCAGATGTTACAGTATTAAGCAGGACTTGTAATTGGAGCATAAAGTTTTTATGTCCCAAACTTGCATTTGAACAACATACAGGAGACAGAGAATATCTGCCAGTAGCATCTGCCGACCGGTAACCTCACAAGTGGCTTTGACAAGGTAGCTGTGAATTTTCACAGCTGTGGTGAGAACAGGTGTAGTTTTCCTTCATAACCACTTAGTTGCTAGTTTGTTAATATTTTAAGCATGAAGTGGATGTACAAATTGATGTTTCTATAGAAATGACATACAGTAGATGTCTTTTTATTCAACTGTGATTTAAAAGTTTGGTAGGAATATGCATAAAAGGTAGCTTGATACTGCCATCTGGTAACGCCACACTGTTTAACCATTGTTTCTTTTCGCCCTGAAGCAAACAGAGGTTTACCGAGCAGATGTCTTTGATCTGTTCCCTGGATCATCTCAAACTGTGGAAATGACCCCCCAGAACCCTGGAACCTGGCTATTACACTGTCACGTTACTGACCACATCCATGCGGGCATGGAAGCAACCTACACAGTGCTCCCAAAGGAAGGTAAGAGCTTACCTATCTCAGTAACGTTAATTATACTTACAGATGCAGAATGGGGCTCACAGACAGGCCAGTGTACTTGGAACCAGTTCAGGCATCCAGCAATATTTCATGGCTTAATATTGATGTCTGGAGGCCAGAACATTGCAAACTATTCAATCATACTTGCCTCAGCGCTGCTGCTCAGAAAACAGAAGTAGCTAAAGGACTGTTTGTTAACTGACTATTGCTTCAGCTTCCCATCAATGAAACTATAATGACACATTTTTATTTAAAAAGAATCCTTCAAGAGACAGAGTATTTCTGTACCCACAAAGTGCCGGCAGTGTCAGACTCCCTCTCAATCTTCATTTAAAACAAAAAGAACAGTTGGTAAATAAAGCTGAAGTTATCATCCCTAACAGCTAAAAGTACTGAAAAACTAAAATAGTGTTTCCTTTCTAAAGGCCATGTTTTAGCTTTACAGACACTATTGCCTTGCTTTAGCAATATTACCTGTGAAAAAACTTGAATCTTGAAGAATTTTGGAAGTTCTTGTTTCTACAAAGTTAATACAATTTTAAAAGCAACACATCCCTATCCTCAAAAGACAGAGCATAATAGGTATGCATTATAGCTAATTGAAAGAAAGAGAACAGTAGGAACATTTCAAAATGCGTGTATACGTATACAGATATACAACTATATAATGTACATGTGCATCTGTACTAAAACCAGACTGGAACGTTAAACACAATCTAGTTCTATTTTATAAACCATTTTGATTTTCAGAATACATTGTACCAAACTTGCACAGATAATAAAAAGGTTGACTTTAGAGTATGCAGAAAGAGACGTAGAAACAGACTTTAACTTGTAGAAGCAGTATGTTAGATTTTCCATAGTTGGCCATCTAAAGTGCATTAACACGTACCCTTCGGTGCATTTTAAAGCTCTTTTTAAATCTGACTCACAATGTCGAGAAGGTACTGGGATCCATTGCTCTCATTTTGGACACTGTCAGCCATATGCATAGACTATTCTTTTGATGAAATGCACGTAACAAAAGCTATTTTCCCCCTTACAGGCAAACAGTCACTATTCCCAAGATTATTCAGTCGGTTCAAGTCTAACAGCACAGCAGGCACACTAGAATGATGAAAACATTTTACCACAGTGATTCTCCAAGGTCTACTACCTTCAGTGAAGCATGTCTTGAGAAATACTATCACCTGGACAATTCATCTCCACGTGTGTTTTGGAAGATTTCATTTGGTGGACCACGGCTAACAAAAAGGCCATAGACCAAGAGAGCTGAATAGATGTAACAGCTCACAAATATCTTTTTCTCTAAACAAAAATAATATCTTGCCAGCTAAACGTATTCTATGTGATGCCTAATGCATGTTATTATTTAGCTGCTGAGAAACGTGGAAGAGCCAAATTAAATGTACCATCTTTTTTTCTTTCTTTTTTTCTTTTTTTAAGTTTGTAAATAACCCTGTGTAACAGCAAAATTTGTTTTAGGTATCTGCTGTCACATTTTACTAGTCAGATATGTTAGTAGTTGTTGCTTGGAAAATAGGAATTTGGTTATCACTTTATCCATAGGTTCACACTTAAAATATATACACTATTGTATAACTGAACAGCTAACAAAATAGTTCTATTATTTCTGTTGAATTATTTTGTAATTTTTATCCAGTAACATCTTCCAAGATAGTGAATTTAAAAGATGCAATGGCTGAGGGATCATGATTGCACAAGATCTTTTTGGTTTTCGGTTATTAAAATTATTACAAGACAAAGTTATGCTGAAATAAGCCTGACGAAATACAGACAGTGAAGGGCAAAATTTGATGACTACTACCTCAGAGCTTTGCTCTGACAAATCTTAAACAACTCCTGCAGTGGAGTCATTTTGCTGTTAGGTACGTAGTGCAGACCTACGCAAATTAAGCTTTTCTTGACAGATCGAAGCAGCAGCATTAGTGCATGACTGATGCTGGTCAAAAATGAAAGCAGTAAGAGCAGGTATCGTCATGGCATCCAGGTGTGTTTTAATAGCCCAGCTCCACGTCTGTTAGACCTGTGTCAAGCAAGAGGGAGGGATGTATGGAACAGGCAGGCAAAGCAAAGCATTTGGGCTTTACAGCTACTAGAACAAAGGAAGTTGCTGCTCTGTAACAAGCCTACATCGCTTTGGCCTTTTTTAAGGTAGAAGGATGCTACTGAAACCAGCATAATCCCTACTAGCCATTGATTTTTTTTTGAATGCTACATAGGTAAGTTAAACTATTTTTTCTTTTCCTTTTTTTTAAAATATCTTTTACTTGCAATGTAGATGATCTCTTCTGACTGACTCCTACATGTTTAAGTGAATTACAACTTCAGGGAAAATGGATTTGATATACTCAATGTCAGCTAATTAGCCCTTTAGATGGTTATGGAATCATAGAGTCATTGCTTTATTTGTGGTAGATTCTCCAAAAACCAAACTGCATTCATAAGAAGGTCATAAACATTGTGACAGTTCATTATGAGTGAATTACAGCTAAAGGAACAAAAGGATGTTTCATGCCCAAAAGAAAGACAAACATCAGTACACACATCCACAAGTACCTGAGAGACTTACCAAAAACCCTAGAAGAAATAAGTTTTCAGCTGGATTTGTGGCCTAGTGATACTTCAAATACTTGCCTATTGACATGTAACAGGAGAAGGAAAAAAAAACAAACCAGCAAACAAGCAGCAGTCTGTGTATTCCACTCCCCTTGGGAACACTTCCATTTCTCTTTGATTTATGGCCTTTTTTTGTGAATCGCTAAATGAAAACATTTTCATCGTTAACACTTGCATGGGTATGTAATTAAGATGACAGAGCAGCTGACTGGTTTTGCCAGCTGGAATTCAAGGGAATGTTTATGTTGCAAAACAAAGTCAGTGGAGCTGAATTCCACCCGGAAGAGTAAGGCACTTACTTTTACCCACACAGTTAGACACATGCCTCAGCTTAAACTCCTCCCTAGGTCAGGGATCCAACTAACCAACACAGAATTAGTCTCCCTGCTTTACTTTCGGTGAACACTGTATGTCCAATTGTACTGTACGGTCTGTATTTCTAGCTGCTTTGGCTGTAAGTTCACCCTCACTGAGAAGATGAGTGATCCTGCCTAACAGTTAATAGCTATGTTTTTACCAGTCCAACCACCATTCTACCCGGCAAGAATTCTGGTTTGCTGACCTTTGTCAGAGTATAATAGTATTAGCTTCAAAACAGATGCTTTGCCTCAGACAACAGCTGTCATTCAATAGCTGTCATAAGGTTTCCACTGAGAAATAAGGTGATTTATGTGAGGGGAGTCCCACGGTACCTTATATGTAATATACGGTTTGTTTCATTTACTTTTTTATTCCAGCACATTCTTTGTATTTGAGTGCATAGTAGAACTTGACTGGTTTAGGTCAGCAGCTTCCTCTGGCTGCAGTGCAGAAGATGTGGCAGGAAAAATGCTGCAGTTCCATCCTCTGGTAGAAGACGGAGGAAATCCCTTAGTTCCAGTTCCATTGCAACAACCGATAAAGTTTCTGCTCACAGCAGGGGAGAAAATCTTGTTTAGGTATTTTGGTTTTAGAACAAAGAAATGAAAAAACATTAACAATGTAATTACTAATTGAAGTCATCAAATTATCTAAACGTTGCAACTGGAATGAAATTTGAGACACACCCATTTGGGGGCAAATACAACTATAGGAAATCTCAAAAGTAAACCGAATTATGTCTTGGATTGAAACCATATCTCTATCTTGACTCATCAGGTCTACACGTGGCACTAATGCTTATGGAAATCTAATCTAGTACTTCACCTTTTGTATCAAATGCAAAGGAAGGCCTGGAAATCTATATAGTACCCTAACTCGGCACTGTCGGTAAAATGGGATGTTCCACAAGGAGCTTCTCAGACCAATCTGTTTAACATTATATTCTTAAGCAATTACAGCACAGTTTCTGCATGAAAACGTTTCAAAAGAAAAACTGCTAGCACTAGAAGCTACAGCACTAGAAGCTAGAACTTTGTGATAGAGCATGGCAACCCGTGCTGCACAATGCAACGCCGTGATGCTGCTTTCCTGCCATCAGGCATTACATTGGCTTTTTTTTTTTTCAATGTATGTGCTTTATTCAATCTTCTTATTCTGTCAAAACAAACACACTGGCCCCTCGGCTACACACAGTATTACTGACTTCCTACAAGCATGTAATAGGACTACGTCAAATACCAGGGTTGGTTTCTCTATTTCTAGTAGTAATACATTGTGGGCTTTTTCTGTCTGTGACCGAATTATCAATACACACTTCAATAGCCACTGGGTTATCAACAGTAGCATGTTAGCTGTCATTGCTTAGAACCATATAGTCACTTAGCCTAGAAAAAAAACAATTACTATGTATTAACTATATAGAAACAATACGATTCCAACAATTTTACTGTTTTCACTACAAAATGAATGCCATGATTTTCATACGAGGCAAGACGCTGTACCTTGCAGAATCCTCTGCTAGTGACTAGCAAGCCCGCTTGAGCTGCATTAGTTGAGCTGCATTAGCTTAAACCATAGAAAAAGGTCCCCTTTTTTTTTCCAAATTATCACATCAGTACTCCTTAGCCTGAACCGTATTTAGAATGTCAGATGACATACAAAGGCTTCTGGAGTTGAGTTGCAATCAATTGATTTACCTTTCAGTGATGAAATAAGAACAGGGCAGTCATTTCCAGCAAGTCTGCTTCTCTTGCAAAGTTCAGGAAGCAGCTTGTTCCACCACAGAACCTAATCCACAAAAAAACACAGCAAAAGTGTAAATTAACAAGGACTGCAATTAAGAGTATGAAAGATCTGCTAAAAAGACACTGAACTAAGCTCAGATGTGTACAAATACAGGAAGGTTATGATGAACTCAATAATTAAATTTATATAATGCTTTGAAACGCAGTGGGTTTGTACATGTTCTATTTTTTCATTTTTAGTGCGATCTTTTTCTGTTCAAAAATTTTTGCACAGTGGCCCCTAGTGCCTCTACAGATAAAAGTTTATAAGAGAAAAAAAGTCACATAATTAGCAAGACTGATGCAGTCAGGTAATTAAGGGGTTTTTTTCCCCCTCCAAACAGCTCCATGCAAAGTGGTGAACAGCATTACTATACAAACACTGCTCTGTCTCCTGACGTAATCTGTCTACTTCCAACAGCTGTAGTAGTGAATTATGTTTTGTGTATAATTTTGCTGATAAGAATTGAGAGAGGGGAAGGGATTTCTTTCCTTCTCTAAATGTGGTAACTCCTCTTCCACCTGTGTTCAGATTCAGTACTGCAACCTCACATTCAACTCTGTAACTAACGGGGAAACAATCAACAGAACTATTTTCAGATCTGAATAAAAAGCACACATCTGGTTTTGAACAGAGTTCCAGTACGTCCACGTGGTAGGGAATCACCTGTGTACAATTAATCGAGTAGCTGTGATGGGCAATGGAAGTAAACTCCTGTGCTCCCGGAACACTGGAATAAAATCAGTTCCAACATTAAAACTGTACAGAGGCCTAAGGGCAAAATGGGACATAAAGAACATAATCTTTCCACTAGTGCACCAGTACCATTCTGATGTTATAAGGTCAGATGATGTCACCAGAACACACGAAGAACATACTTCAGTGTGATTTTATTTGAGAGATGATGTTCTCTTATTAGGTTATCACTAAAATTCCATGTTATACAACACTGTCAAACAATTTAGAACACCGATGAGTGAGAAACTAGCTAGTTTTTCATTTACAGTGGAAAAAGAACATATTGCTCTCCCTTTTCTGAGTCACACTGCCATTTGAAAAGACTATGCTTTAAATTACTAGAATGAATACAAGAAGTCACAGAAGAAACTGCGAAAAAAATAAAATCCATTAAAATTAGTAGGGACTGAGTTATGGAATTTAAATGTCAAGCAAGAGGTTCAAAGCAAACTAAGCAATTTACTTTGTCTGAAAGCTGGGCTATTTGATCCATCCACAGTCCATCTGTACACAATAGCATTTTAGTTAGGGGGAAAAAAAAAAAAACCTAAACAAAAAATACTGAACAACTTTAACAAAAGTAGCTCACCCGATTGTCATCTTTCAGCTCGTGCTGAGCATATAAGACAGCTGCATCAGGACACCTCTGGAGAAGGTGGTCAATGGCTTCCTCGTACTTGCCTAGACGGGTGCTGCAGAGAACACGGATGGTGAGGCCGACATTGCCAGCCTCTGTCAGAGGCTCCAAGACAGGCAGAGCTGAAGCTATATTGATCGACTGACTACATAAAAGAGACTGAAGACAAGAAGAAAGAGTATTGTTTGGATTTAAGACAAACTTTGCAAAAAAATGCTAACCATAACCTTAGAACAGAAATCGGAATAATTTTGAAATAATACTTCCATTAATAAATGTTACTGAAAACGGAGAAAGCAAGTTTAGAGTGGACTGCAAATGTAAATACAATTGTTATCAACATAACTCGTCAGTATTTTTTTCTTCCATGATTTCAATGGCCCTTTTAGTTCAACTCGGATAACTTGGGAAGGAAAGAAGAGGGGAGTCTGCTGGAGAAAGTTGTTCATACATACATGAATATTTGCAGAACGGATCTAAGCTGTAAACAGCAAGATTTAAGGGTTTCATACCTGTAGTTTTGAGATATCTTCATGGTAATCTTTATCAGATGGAGAGCCCACTGACATTATGGAAGTTACCCACGGGAAAATCAACCCAAAATGATTACAGGAGTTTATCTATACAAGAAAGAATCAAGTTGCAATAAAAGAAATGTTTCTGTTAGTGACAGTTCTATGTGAAACCCACCACAAGTGAAGAAAATTTTACTCTCAAAGAGCATAATTTCAAATAGCAGCTATTCTTTCTTTTGGTTCATACAATTTAGTAACAAACAAACTGAAAACTTCTATTTAATTCTGTATTTCAGACTTCCCATTCAGAGTCCTTTAAGATTCATCATTCACACATTTTTCTGATCTAGTCAGCTTTGTACAACTGCAAACACTCCACCTGACAAACTCTCACCGTCTCATTTTAGCCCTCATTTCTATCCAGAGCCGAGATTCCTGTTGGAAGTATACTTGCAAATGTCCCCAAAGAGGAGGAATTTCCAGAGCCAGCAATACCTATTTGCTAACTGCACACTCCCTTATCTGCTTTCAGTCTTGCTTCTTTTAAGACATTCAACTGTCCAGAATTAAATTACTAAGGATAGTATTTGGAGGGACGATGCAGTCATAAAACTTCCTCTGAGTGGCATACTTACCAGATCCTCTGTTGTTTTCAGTGGCTTAGTCTCCGGAAGTTGCTTCATTGATATTCTCCAAACATACTGAGAAGTAACCCTCAATAAAAGCTCCTGAAGTATTTCTTCCCGAGAGCACACTACAAGGAGAGCTTCCCAGAAATCCACTAAGAGCTGAGGAACAGTGTTTTCACTGCTACTACACAACATCTAAGAACAATAACGTTAGAAGACAGCAAGTTAGCACAGACTACGGTAATTATTAGTAGCAGAAGTCCTAAGAGTTTTACTAGAAGCAGAATTTTGGTTCCTTCTTTGCCTTGATGTATTTCTAACGGATGTGATTCTACATAATACAGTGCTAGGCAAAGTAAAAAGTTCATGGAATGATTTTAAGGTAATAAATTCTACACAATAGATTTGATTTCTTCTTCAAGATTTACTCCACTGCCAGAAATGTCAGCACACTGTCAGCAAGTATTTAGAGACTGTGAATTTGGAGGATTTTATATATGCCAATAGCCAAGCACATGTCTTTGAAAGAAGAATCTAAAGGCCACGATAAGAGATGCTGTGTAGCTCAGTTGGGTATAACAGTAGGAGCCAAAAGAGAGGTGCTTTAAGGTCTGGTGTGTCAGCAAAAAGGACTCTTCCTTGGTTTCCAATCGGCTTTAAACAACACTACTTGTTCTAATTTGAGTTTCACAACTTGGTATTTCTGATACAGGTCTTTCACAGTAACAGATACAAGACTGCAACACACCTACATTGAAGAACACATGGTTTTAATCAAAACAATGTTATTCATTGTATAGAAAATAAAAAGGTTTGTCTATTCCCAAAATAAATAAAGAAAACTTCAGTGACACCAGAAAAACTATTCTATTTATCTTTCTTCTTAGAAACTGCAGAGACCCACTCTTCTTCTAGAAATTTATACAGAACATCAGAACATTATGTACCTTCATAGTTAAGTCTGATTCTTTAGTTTAGAAGTATGTTTCAATCCTAATGATTTCTTCAAAAGGAGCTTATGGAAGTGATTTATCTAAATTCTGTTAAATTCCAGTAGCCTTAGGAAGCCCAGTTACTAGGAAGCCATTGAAAGACCTCTGAGATCAGGGTATTCTCCATTCAAATGACAGGGTCAAAACAAAGAACTTAACAGAATTTTTTTTTTTCCATTTGATTTAACCAGTATTTCTTTCCAGAAGGTCCAGCTTCTGAGTCTGTACTCATCTATCAAGACTGGAATATATTCATCTCTCTCTCTCTGAAGAAATGCTGAAATGTGAGTGAAGGAGCAACCGAGGCTGCTTTGCTTACCCATAACAACATCACTATGAGAAAAATAGAAGAAAAAAAATGATCACAGGCCAACCTTGAAAAAGGTATCTGCTTCTTCCAGTTCAATTTTACTGTTCTCATGTAAAGCCACAGTGGCAGCCACCAGTAAACCAGGCTGCATCTCCTTCAGGTGAACAGCAAACTCAGTTGGCATAACAATTCCTTCCTTGTGCTGTCTCAAGAGTTTTGGTTGCCCAATGAAGCCACAAGCCAGTATTGTCTACAAACATAGCCAGATATATATCAGTTAAAGAATTCAATTCATATACGAGTCAACTCAGCAAACTCAGTATTTCCTCAGGCAGTGAAGTTTAGACAGATGAAATGAAGAAAAGTCAGGGGAAGGAAATAAATCCTTTCTACAATTTTTAGACTAGCTCTCTGGAGACGGAGCTCCAAACTGTGTGCCCGCGCAGTGACTCCTAAGCAATGGACCATTTGCCTGAACACTGAAAGTAACATGCTGTTGACATCTGGAATTACCATGCACATGTGAAAGACAGATTTCACTATGAAATCTAAGACATTCAATACACACAGTGTTTTGAAAAATCACTGGCCAAAATTTCAATAGACTACTTTGCTAAATTTCAATAGACTACTTCACTAAAGTAGTGAAGCTATTTTAAAAATAGCCCTGAAACAATGATCAAAATGTGCTGCGCTATGTGCAACACTATGTTGGTTCTGGATATCTGAATGCTTTTGAAGCTAAGCATGACAAGATACGATTTCTACTTTAAAGACAGTGGGAAAATGATGCCTAAGCAAATTAAATGAATTACACAGGAAATGTAAGGCATACCTAGGAGGAAAATTCAGATCTTACCCTGCTATGCATACAAACTATCTTTCCTTTCTTTATCTTTCTGAAAGTGTTATTTTTTTCTACTTTGCAACAAAATGCTTTTTAAAGGTGAGGTGCAACAGAACATTTTTTAATAGGTCAGATTAAAAAGAGGGAAAAAAAACCCCAAACCCAACACCCAAACCCCAGCCACCTTATTCTCTAAATAACATCCATGGAGTGGAATGTGTATGCTAGCTCAAAACATGGCAATTTCACTTGATCCTGCTGCAAATGGTGAGAAAGCAGGTGGTGCTGAATATCATTACTGAAACAACTCTCCACAGTTCCCACCTTGCAATTCAAAAACTGCTAGCTTTGAAAGCTCCCCAGGACTTCTCCTACCAAAGCATGATATCTAACTTTGGAACAGTTACCAGTTTATTTCAAAAGTTATTAGACGTCCAATATCTCACTCTCAGAAGAAGTCTGTATTTCAAGATCTGTCACCTTTGAATACTCAACAGTCCTGATCAACCTTAACAAGAAGTAATTTACAGACTGGTCTCAGTCTCAAACCACATGTGAACATCTACGGCAGACACTGCTTCACTAACATTTTTCCCCCAGTGATGCGGAATTCTTACTTTGACAGCACTGAAGTAGGTTCTGATCTGATCTTGATAAGGGTTAAGTGCTTTGATTCCACATAAGAAAGATGGGAAATTGTATACAGAAACTTTAGTTTGTGTGCACCATGGACATTGTGCTTCAAAAGCAATTTTATAAGGGCTGTTTGCATACAGATGGTGTTTTCATGGGCATGTCACCTATTAATTACAGGTGGAGGGGTGTAAAAATGCTACTATACAAGCCTGCCATAGTGCTAAAGAGCACTGGCTCTGCAGAGCTTGTTACACCCCAGTAAACAGCACAATTTATCAAGAATTAACAGCTTCAAAACTTTTGCTTATTTGGCAAGGCTTTGCCAAGGTAAGACTACCCTACCTGCAGGGTAAACAGTACAGTCCCAGTGTATGCCAGCCCTCGATTCTACTGTTATTGCAGACATTCAGTGGAGCCTATACAGCATATCCGGAGGAAGAGGAGTGACTGAAAGTTTCTTCTACTGTAAAACACAACTACAAGCCAAACCTACTGACTTGAGCTTTGCAAAGCATCAGTAGCTCATGCTTTCAAGCATACTTTACCTCCTTATAGGAGTCCATCTCATGTTCATACATCGTCAAGTCTCCCATTTTCAGGGCCATGAAAGCCTTAGTAAGCGTCAGGACCACTGAGGGCATAATCTTTTCTACTTTCTGAAGATACTTCATAGCTGTCAAAGGACACACATTTCTCATACAGGGGCTGCAGAGGATATGAGGCAGCTGCACAGGATCAGCAAGACAGAATATCTGGAGAACTTTATTTGCTGATTCCTATTGAAATAAAAGGCATTTGACAGTTTAGACCTTTCCTGATACAGAGTCTTCTATGGCATATGAAAGTATTGCAGTTTTGTTTGTGCGTTTTTCTTTATAAAACAGACAAGTACAGCTTAGCTATCAAATCACAGTGCCTTTCCTGCCTCTTTCCTCCCTACTGGTAAAAGTAAAGGATCTCTAACCAGCAGTGATTCAACCCATATTCTGGGGTGCGAGGAGAACATCCACCACCAGAGTGAATTGGTTCTATCAACCTGTACAACTTGGCAACATTCAAAGAAACAGTTTGTTTTGTTAGAGAAATGGGAGATGAAAAAAATTTGAGGCAGAGCGTTCCTAAAATGGAAGTGTCTCTTTGTGCAAGTGGGAACCAGATCATTGGCAATATACATCGTGATAGCCAAACCCATAATATGCTGCCTGAAAGCAGCCCGAAGCATCACAGGTGCTGCTTGCTATTTTGTCAACAAAAATGGAAAAATAAAAAGCATGTGAAAAAGAACAACTGTAAAACTAAATGAGCAGCTCAGCGTTTTCCAAATTTGATATACAGTTCTTAAAATCAGAACTAAATCAATAGATTAAGAAAAAACCAACTTGTTTATACCTTACTTAATTCTTCATTTAAGTCTTCATTAAGAGAGTGAGTTAAGTAAAATATAAATCCTTTTTCATATGTCTGTATTTTATCATCTTCTGAAACTAGTCTCTTTAAAACTTCAGTCATGGATAAACCTGACATTCTGTAGTATGGCAAAGCAAGGTGATAATCCTTTGTGTCAAACCTGCAGGCAACAGAGAGGAAGGAAGAAAAGTACAAAACACCTAAGGGCAACACTTTTGCCATCGCTCTTCGTAAGGACTGAAACAATACATCAAAGTAAGTTGCAGACAAACCAGTATCTGCAAACACATAGCTCATATTCAACATAATGTTGTATTCTGTGTTCAGTGACAATAAAGACAACCAGATACTGAAGAGATTACTAGACTTAGTTGTTTTTGTAGAACGTCAAGATTTGTAATATATATGCAATACCAACGTAAAACAGCAAAGAATGATGGATTTTCATTTTAAGGTTACATTATTGGAATCAAAAGCTCACCCGTATCACTTTGACATCTAAAACATACCTGCTGTAGCAGTCTCCTAAGAATGCACAACTTTCTCTGAATGCTCTTAGAAGTTCTTCTTTCTCATCTGATTTAAGGTAATGAGGGTCCATTATAGCTGCTCTGACCAGTAAGTGAGCCTCACTTAGAAGATGGATACAACTCTCAGTTTTCACATTTTCGTAAGTTCTACTATAATCTACCTAGAACAGACACAGGATACACTTAGGCTTCTGGCAAAAATTAAGAATATACAGGAACAATTCTAATGAGGGCAGCAGTCATTTGAAATAGCACTATGGTCTATTCATGAGAAATACATTATGTTATATTCAGCAATGACATGCATCAGAGATTAATTAACAGTACTTATTTTTAGCGACCAAACAACAAAAGCAGGAGTTGGGCAATACCATTTCTCTGTAAAGCTGAACAGTTGAAACAGTGTCTATAATATATAAATTCCAGCCAGGCTCTGACTCAGAATTTGTTCTGGATTTGGTGCTGTCAGCCTTTCTGGAACTAGAGAGAAGGAAAAGAGTTGAGTTGTCAGTGTCCAAATAAACCCTATGCAGCAAAAAAAAAACACCCACTCACTTGATACTTTAAATCCATAAACAGGTATGTTTGCAGGCTAGTAAATGCTTGAGAGTTAAGCTGTGAATTTGAGTCATAATGGCTAATAACAAAACAGCAAGAGGCATATTCATACACCAGGAACACCATCAAAACTATCTACTATGTCTTCTCCCAGGCTTAACAACAAGTAGTATCAGATACTTGCATGAAGTTAAGTAATCCAAATTAGCTAAGATGTTTACTTCTTTCTGTAAGGACTTACTGCATGTTTGCCCCTGCACCTTTATTAAAGTGTTTGCCAAGACATGGCATAAAAAAATATTTGAATGCTTTTACTCCAACACATTGGCTAGGTGTGTAACGCCCTAAGGTTGAAACACTAGGAAAACACAGACTCTTTCTGTTCTGGTTTTTTTGGTTTTAACTGTTCTGAGATACTTACATCTTTACTTTCAAATGATGGTGTTAAGTAGACTAGCGTTTGTTCAACTTGCATTCTTTACAGAAGGCAAAACATGTTATCTTCCCCAAACGCCAATTATAATCTTTGAAACACAATCGGCAGAAGAAACTGTGTTTTATACACAGAAAACTACAGTATTTTGAATTACCATTCTCCTTGATGAGCTTATCCTCATCTCCTCCTGAATAACATCTGTTCTAGGCTTTAAGAAATACTGGTTCAAATAACTCTTCAATCAACTATAGCTGTCCCACTTTTCTTAATGAACTTGAACTGACTTTAAAAAAGCAGATAACTTTTCTTGGAAAGAACCCTTAGCCAAATGTAAGACATTTTCATTTTGTGCTACAACATATTTTGTTAGCCTATAGCTTCAGTACTCCTACATATTTTTGTTTCTCAAGATAATTTTTTCTTCTTAGTAGCAGATACATTCTTAGTACTATTTTAACATTACTTATGGAAGTTAAGTTTGTTACAATCTTGAGTAACTACTTTTGTTGATTTCAAGCATTTGTCACCCTACCCTCCTTTCTTCTGTCAGTTAATACAGTAGAATTGAAAAAAATAAATGCTTGATTTCCGTTTTCACGCACTAACTAGGGAATTATTTTCAAATTTCTTGAACACCAACACCCACAAATTCAGCACTGCAGACAGAGCTATAAACACCATCTCCACAAAAGACACAAATCCTTACAGCATCCTTCTTGTAGGTTTTCTTCTTTCAGTAATATCTTCGGTGTCCGCCTTAGTCAAAAGAATTATATGGTTTTTGAAATGACAGATAGCTCTTGGTCCTATAAAAAGCTGCATTCTTAATGTGCAGACATCCAGTGCAACAGGTGGACAAGCCTATAAAGGGAAGCGATTGTTTTGTAATTTCAGTTAGTGTTTATTTTGAGTCTTTAAATACAAAAAAAGTACGGAAAAATGTAACTTCTGTTTAGTGATCTGACACTAAAAACATTCACTGACTTTCCTAACTTTGAGTGCTTCACTTAAGCAACAATAAAAATATTCATAGAACTATGATATAAATCATTTAACAATGGGTAAAAAAATAATCATTTCACTCTACATGTTCGGCTCTTGAAAATTTTGTAATACTTCTACTGTCCTACGGTTTCTTTATGTCTGCTGTCTACATGCTCAAAAAAAAATCCTTAAATGCTAACCTGAAGTACACTTCAGTCTATCTTTCCTGGTATTTTAATTAACATATATCCCAATCTTTACAATTCAACAGATTTTTACTGATAAGCTATTTAAGGAAGGGGAAAAGTCTAGACCTCCAAGGATCAAAAGCCCTCCTCCTAAAAAACATGCACTAAGTATCTGGTAGCAGACTTGTGCAAGTGTCTACACTCCTCTTAGAAAAAATGTTTTTTCAGGGATACCCGAGAGAGAGAAACATCATCAGCTGCAGTAAGGGAAAACTCTGCACCCTTCATTCAGATTTATAAAGGAAAGCACACAATTTTAAGTGATTTTAGAGATTTTGATGGTTTTGAAAATATTCTACTAATGGTCTAGACTCTTAAATGGCAGTAATAGATGGTTTCATTGAGACATTTGTAGACCATTAAAGTACAATGTACCATAGATTGAAGTAAAATATTAATTTTGGATGTTATTTTATTGGTTCAGCCAATACAAACTAACAGGATTCCAGAAGGAAACATAAGGAAACTAAGTGCCATACTAGTATTCCCATTCTTTTAGCAAGGTAACGAGAGGTGCACCTTCACAGTTGTATCAATATATGGATCCTCATCACGAGCTGCTGCTGCACTGCACCGCACTGTGAAACACTGCAGGTTCTCACTAGAGGGAAAGAAGAAACCACAATGATGAAGGAAAAAAATGAAGACTTGCAAAAATCAAGTAGCCAAGACTACAGAGAGTCAGATCTTTTTCCTTTGTAGAAATGGGCCTTGAAGCCTAAGCAGGAGGGCATGCTGCACTATCACGTGAGCCTACCCAGAGAGCTCCAGGCAGCTAAGAAAGACATATCAGGGTGCGGGGAAAGGCAGCAGCACAGAGAAACGTAGTAATACTGGCAGCAAAATTATAAATGTAGTACCTTGTAATGACGTGCAGGAACTGTGGAGTGAGAACTGCCTGCTCTGACTTCTCTGAATATTGGTAAGTAGAAATCAGCTCTACTAACTTCCCAACAGAGTAGAGATATCCAACATGAGGTAAAGAGAAAAAGCAAAAGAGACTGAGCAGTTCTCTCTTGTTCTCAGTTCCCTCATGGGCTGCCACAGAACCTCCTAGATGTAACAATAAGAAAGGCATTTTATATACCTCATAAATCAAAACCTGGCAATTCCTTTGCAAGCCTGATGCCTAAAAGAGACTATCAAACCTGCCCAGGTGGCAGACTGGTTTTGTTAGTAGCTCTTGAAGAGAAAAAGAACTACATGAAGATCAGTGTAATGGTCGGATCAGTGCATAGATCAAAAATTTGTATGTCGCGTTATCCCGTTTGGAGACATATTTAACAGAAGTGTGGATGTACCACCAAGTGAAGAAATTCTACAGACGTAACAGCATCTGAAAGTTCTAGCAGATTCATCACAACTGAGCATCCATGGATTGAATGATCAGCCTGATTAAGTTAGACAACTACTTGTGAGCTGAGATGAATGCTCATCCAGAGCTGCAGGTCCTCACTTATGGGAAAGAAAGGCTGGGAATGGCAGAATTTATTTATAACGCCACTTTGGCAGGTAAAGGCTGCGTTCAGATTCTACAGACCCTCTTGTCAATGACTGTAAATCACGACAGAACTTAAGATAGCTGGAGTTAAATAGCAAGTAGCTCATTCTCTTGAGTCGGCTGCAACTTAAACAAGGCTTTGCTACTTAGCAGACAGACAACCACCACAAACTAGGTGAGCAGTCAGTAAAGCTGATTGATAACATACAGCATTAAATTTTTCATGGGTCTGTTGGGGCCTGAGCTAGTACATATTAGTGAACCCCTAAAATCTACAGTCATCCCTTGCAGTTTTAATTAAAGCCTGGCAGAAAAGTAACCTGTATCTTAATGATGATCAAGGTTTACTACTCTGATTTCCACTGTTGACTAATGAGAGGCAGCCTAGTATCTTCTAACACTGAGAATAATTTTATTAATGTCATTTAAAGAGTGACTGTTTTGAGATGTAGAATTAATCAGTAGAGAGCTGATAAAAGCTGATTTAGTCTTCCTCTTTTGGTGTAGAGAATTGATATTTTAGTTCAAGGTTTATGCAGAACTTGAAGAAACTTAAAAGACTTCATTGTTAACAGAAGCTCGGTTTAAATCATTGAAAAGGGAGGAAAGACCTTAATTTAGAAACAAATCATACAGAAACAGTGTACAAAACAGAATATACAAAAAAGCTTATTCCTTTCCCAGGTCTCCTGTGACACAGGCCATAATACATCCATGCATATCCATATACCTGTCTGGTACACGGGAAGCAGCTGAACAGAGTGCAACTTTGTCTCTTCACAAAACCCAAAAGGCGACTGGTCAGGTGTAAAACGTCTAGGAAAAAAAATCCAAAACAACAGCATGGGACCTCAGTGAAAAATTATTATGACCTACTTTGGACAAGCAAACAGCACTAGCTATAACAGGCATAGCTGGTGTTTTAATGCTCAAAGGCAATGTGCACTCCTACTACTAAAGTAATAAGCATGGCAATACCAAGAAGTATGTGGCACAGCTAGAGACAACTATCTTGCATTCTTTCTTTGGTTGTCTACAAGACACATATCAAAGTTTGGGATCACTGGAAGACATGTTGCAATTGATCTGAGCCTCAATTTAACCTTTTTTCCCCCCCCTCCCTTTCTATTAAACTGAGCTACATGCAGCATGGTGCCACCTCCAATCCTACTTTTCTTTCCTATTATGTGTCATCCTTCTTTCTGTTTTGCTCTGGAATTCACTGCTGGACTGTGACATCAATTCTTCCTCATTTCAGATAAAACTTTAGTGGCTTTGATCACTAACAAAATAAAAAGTACAGTTTCTTAGTGCTTTACATACTTCGTAAACTCCCTTTGCTAGCTGGAGAAAGAGAAAATTTTTTCTTTTTATAGAGGTACTCAAATAAGTATCGCTTCTGCTGGAGTTGATGAAAACTGCAGAATAAATAAACCAAAGGCAGGACTGCTGATCAGTCTGGTGTGTAATCCTTTAAAGTAGGCTTCTCTAAACAACATAAGAATTTGACACAAGCTGCTTCAGAATAAGGTGTGTAAAACTCGGTTTTGCTGGTTCAGCATGAAAGTATAAAAACTGTGGGTGGTCAGGCACTAGAACAGGTTGCCCAGAGAAGT